TGCTATGTACTCCAGTCAACTCTGTTTTATCACTAGAGATAAGAGTAACGTCATGTGACCTCCCAGAATCCTCCTCACCTCTCCAGTCAGGTCTGTGTTTTATTAATAGAGATAAGAGTGATGTCATGTGACCTCTCAGAATCCTCCTCACCTCTCCGGTCAGGTCTGTTTTATTAATAAAATAGGGACTGCAGAGCTACAAAAAGTGATAAACAGGTTGAACCTATCTTCAGCAGATAAATAAATAAATGGCAATAAATGTCCAATAAGCAATATCAGGTAAGGTGAATAGTCCAAAATTTGTGAGTGACTTTGATCAATGCCGGTATGATCCTAGTATCCTGATGTAGAGATATAGATAGATTGCCTACTCACCAGAAGCGCAATCTCAATGTGCATGTCAAGATCACATGTAGCCTGGAGTCCTGGGTGGATACTGCCTGGTAATGCAATCCTCCTGGTGGTCACTCAGTGGCGTGTGATAAGGATACCGGTCTGGTCATAACGTACTTACTCTTCAAGTCTGCACAGATGCCTGGAATGCTGGGGCTGAGGTGTGGAAGCTCAGTGCCAGGGTATAGAGAATAAAGGTGCCCATAGTGTAGTATTGATTAAAAGGTTTATTAAATCAAATTAAGCAGAATATACACACATGACAATGACTGTGGGTAGTGGTAGGAACGTCAAGGCGTGCAAGAGCTTCTCCTAGACGCGTTTCGTGTAAACACACGTCTGCAGTAGGGGTGATGCCGTGCAGGCCGGACATCACATTGCTCATATATATAGTGAAAAAATGCACCCAAATACGCCGGCGCCATCTTGCCGAAGATCAGCGTACTGCGCATGTGTGAGCGCCATATTTTCGGTGATTTTTCCAATTCTGAAATGGCCGCAGCGCATCCCACTGCACATGCGCTAATGTTCTGGCCGCCATTTTGTTGGTTAGGAAGTCGCATAAGACAGCGCCAAACTGCGCATGCGCGAGCCAAACGGCCGCCATTTTCTTGAAGATGGGGAGGCATAACATAGTGCCTTTTACTCAGCTGAGATAAATTGGAAATCTATCCCCAGACATAATTTCCCAGCCTAACAGAGGGTACTATAAGTAACTGGGATAAGGTATTTACCTACCCCAGAACGTATAGGTAAATGCGCATGCGCGGGAAACACGGTCGCTATTTTACTGGTGTTTCCTGCAAAACTAACACAGGCTTGTTGGCAATGTTAAGTAGATATCACAAATGATATAAATTGGTGCATTTCCTTAAAAGTAGGATATTTAACAAATAAAGTGTAAATAAAAGGTTACACAATCATATAATAAAACATAATAAAATCTAGTATAGCGGCCACAGTATTATGGCACATAATAAAAACAAGTGATAATAGAAAAAGTGCACAAAAGAAAGATCAGTATAACCATAAGCTATATCAATAAATACATATGCCAAACGCAATATATTCTATTAAATGTCCTAATGTCATGCTACCAGGTATATAGTCTAACCATGTGTACGGGTAGGGGTTCAGCTGTTATCGATGAAGCAGTTTAAATCTAATTCCACGTTGTGGCCTAAAGGGGTCATAGATTTGATCTCAAAGATCCACTTGGTCTCCAGACGTGAGACCTGTCTGCTTCGGTTTGAACCTCGCCAGTGATGTTGTACCACATCGATCCCTATAAATTTGAGGGAAAAGGGATTTCTATGATGAAAATCCCTATAGTGCTTCGATAGGGAATGTTCGCGGAAACCCCTTTTGATATTCTGGCACGGGCATTCCAGGAGGTATACTGCGTAACGTGTATTTCAAGAGTTAAAGGTGGTTATCTCATAGTCCTTGACTGTTGTTGTAGAGGCAAAGGATTCTATCTTCCTCTTTGACATCCTGCTGTGTTTGCATAATTGGCATCTTTTGCAGGGAAAAAAACCTTTAAGATTACCAAGAAAACTCGGGCGTAAAGGGGGATCTGTTATATTCGGGGCAATAGTATTGCGTAGAGGTAAGGCCCTCTTGAAGATAACTTCTGGGTTTGGGGGCAAGGCTGTTGAAACAATCGGATCTGCCTTAAGTACATCCCAATTCTTTTTCACGATATGACGTATCGTTTTATGTTGTTTATGTTGTTTTATATTAGTACGTACAAGGGTAAGGTATTCAAATGACAGGTCCTTAAAACAGACACGATTCAAGACACACATCCTATGACCCCTGTACGTACTAATATACCACATAGCATTCCTCGTAAAAGGAAAGTAAGCTATTATAATTCCAGATCACCTAGAAGGCAACATAATAGGCACCATTCACCCATCCCTGTACAAAACAGATTTGAACCCCTTTATGATATGGAAGACGCCAACATTGGGTCCAGGGATATGAGATGGCATCCAGCCCGTCCGAAGAAAACCCACACCTCACATGGGGACTATTACTTCCAACAACAACAACATAAACAACCACGCCACCCCAATAATGATTACTATCAGGATACATCTAGGGGTATGCAGGGGTCTCCCCGACACCCCAATTCTTACCCTAAGGGAGAACCCTACCATCCTCCACACAGAAGGGTATCAAATCCGAATACTACAAACCATAATAATTATAACAATCATAATAATGGCCGTAATCATTATTGCAATAACACCAACAATTATAACCAATACCAGAATAATAACCATGACTCTCAGTCATGCACACATTTTTTAGGGGGTGGACACACACGAAAAAGAAGTGTAAGAGCAGAGGATGCAGGGGAGGAAAGAGGGTTAATAGACCCAAAGAAAAGGAGAATGTAATAGGGAAGGGCATATATAATCTGAGTGGTATTTCCCTCACCAAATTGGAACTTGTCGTTCTAGACAAGGGCCTGAAGTATGCACCAAAAACCAAACTCAACAAATTTCAAACCTATGAGGACATCCATAAATTTGCGAGAAAACTATCTATTAAAAGACATTTTATGAGTAAAGTCACTGGTTCCAACAACTTAACTACCAATTCTCACTACTCCAATCTTCGCAATGCATCCTTGTTCAACCCCCTACCACATAAACAATCATATATCAACATCTTCAAGGAACTAGTAATAAAAGATACAGAGGCGATTAGGATCAAACGACCTCGTAACTCCAAGGACCTGGATACAGGTCTTAAATCTCTGTTGAACAGTAAGGATCTAGTTATAAGGCCTGCCGACAAGGGAGGAGGTGTAGTCGTGTTAAATAAAAAGGATTATATTTCTGAAGCCTTAAACATTCTTGGAGATAAGGACACCTACAGTATACTCCCCAAAGATCCACTTATTCCATTCAAACGTACCCTAAAGAGCATTATTAAACTTGGATATGAGCTTCATGTAATTAACAGTAAAGAGAAGGATTACTTATGCCCTAAGGCACCTAGACTACTGGTATTTTATTACCTCCCAAAAATACATAAGGACCCTATACACCCTCCAGGTAGGCCCATAATAAGCGGGATCGGGTCCCTATTTTCCAGAGTTGGGGAGTATATAGATTATTTTCTACAGCCCATAGTCCTTGCTACTCCATCTTATATTAAAGATACCAAGCAAGTATTAACTGATGTCAGCACACTTTAATTGGAACCCAGAGTCTACAACTTTCCTGGTTCCAGCAGATGTTGCATCATTGTATAGCAACATCAACCATGAAGATGGTATGTCAGCAGCTGATTATTATCTTAATTTGGCCGATAATGTTTCCACCACGCATAAAACGTTTATTCTTGACCTTCTGAATTTTGCTATGAGAAGCAATTACTTCTGGTTCAATAGTAGTTTTTATCTGCAAATGAGAGGAGTGGCAATGGGTGCCAAATTTGCTCCCAGCCTGGCCAACCTATTCATGGCCAGGTGGGAGGAGGACATCATCTATTCCAGAGAGTGGCCAGAATTGAAATTCTACAAAAGATATATAGATGATGTCCTCCTATTGTGGCAAGGGGAAGAGACTGCTTTAATCAATTTCTTCGGTACATTAAACAATAATAATCTCAACATTAGATTAACCTATGAATACAGTATTGAATGTGTGAATTTTCTGGATGTCACTATCATTAATAAAGGAGGACACTGTGTTAGGGATCCGGGTGTGACCAGAAATGTGTGGACTGACACAGGGAAGTAGCAGGCTTCAGGAACACAGGCGTAGTCAGGCTGGAGAGGTGGAATGGTCAGGCAGGTCGTAAGGTACTGTCAGGTGCCGCCTGGCAGTGTCTCTAGCAGCCCACAGCACGGATTTCCTCAAGGCGTGGGGTCTAAGTCCCAGCCTGCTATTCACCAGGGCCCCTGATGGTGGGGATGGACTTGGTGCAGACTGGAACCAGGTCGCGACCCCTGAGTGCGTCCGGCTGTGGTAGAGAGTACTGGCAGGGGAGTGCAGGAACGGAGTCTGATGGGAAGAGGCAGGCAGACTTACTAAAGGTGATCCGTGCGGGATGGATGGATCGTCAGGTGAAGTAAGCGTAGTCAGACAGGCCGGGTCGGTATCGTGCGGGCAGCGTGGTACAGGAGGAGCAAGCAGAGAATGGTCGGGGTCACAAGCCAGGTTCAGCAGGTAGCGGGCAGCGCGGTACCGAGGATCAGGCAGAAGGATGGTCAGGCAAGCCAGGGGTTCAACAGGAGACGGTAAGCAGAGGTCAGGGTGAAAGCAGGGTCAGCAACGAGGCAGGAACACAGGATACCAGGTACAGAGGCTCATGGGAAACATACACCAAGGCCCTGATCACAGGCCTGGTCATTCCTTAAATACAAGTCCTGCAATCAGCCAGAGGTGTTGGCTGACTACAGGAGTGAGCTTCTGGCTGCTGAGAGCACCCGCTGGTCAGCCCTGGTACTGCAGCCCACACGGCAGGTGAGTCCCACCACCAGCGCTGAGTCCATTCCTGACAGTACCCCCCCCCCTCAAGGAGCGGCCTCAGGACGCTCCAAACAGTCCTTAGTGGGCAAAATGTTCCACCGCCCGGGTCAGGTAACTGGCTGGATATCTTACTGCCGGAGTAAACCGGCTGGCTGTGTTTCCTGCTGGCAGACTTCTCTTTATGTACGAGAACCCAGGAAGGCAGGTTGCTGGACACAAGATTTCCAGGAGCAGGCTGGGAATCATTTATTGGCCAGTTTAGCTGGACATCAGGGGCTGGCACATCAGGCTGCGCAGCGGACAGAGGCACATCGGGCTGGGCAGCGGGCGGAGGCACATCAGGCTGGGCAGCGGGCGGAGGCACGTCAGGCTGGGCAGCGGGCGGAGGCACGTCAGGCTGGGCAGCGGGCGGAGGCACGTCAGGCTGGGCAGCGGGCGGAGGCACGTCAGGCTGGGCAGCGGGCGGAGGCACGTCAGGCTGGGCAGCGGGCGGAGGCACGTCAGGCTGGGCAGCTGGCAGAGGCACGTCAGGCTGGGCAGCGGGCAGAGGCATGACAGCGGGCACCGAGTCATCGGGCAAGTCAGCGGGCACCAAGTTACCGGGCAAGTCAGCGGGCATCGATTCATCTGGCACAACAGCGGGCACCGAGTCACCGGCAAGTCAGCGGGCACCGAGTCATCGGGCACGTCAGCGGGCACCGAGTCATCGGGCACGTCAGCGGGCACCGAGTCATCTGGCACGACAGCGTGCAACGAATCATCTGGCACGACAGCAGGCACCAAGTCATCTGGCACGACAGCGGGCACCAAGTCATCTGGCACGACAGCGGGCAACGAGTCATCTGGCAGAACAGCGGGCATCGAGTCATCTGGCACGACAGCGGGGACCGAGTCATCTGGCAGAACAGCGGGCACCGAGTCATCTGGCATGACAGCGGGCACCGAGTCATCTGGTACGACAGCGGGCACCGAGTCCTCTGGCAGAACAGCGGGCAACGAGTCATCTGGCACGACAGCGGCATCGAGTCATCTGGCAGAACAGCAGGCACCGGGTCACCAAGCTCAACAGCGGGCAACGAGTCATCTGGGAGAACAGCGGGCACCGAGTCATCTGGCACAACAGCGGGCACCGAGTCATCTAGCAGAACAGCGGGCACCGAGTCATCTAGCAGAACAGCGGGCACCGAGTCATCTGGTACAACAGCGGGCACCGAGTCATCTGGCAGAACAGCGGGCAACGAGTCATCTGGCACGACAGCGGGCACCGAGTCATCTGGCACGACAGCGGGCACCGAGTCATCTGGCACGACAGCGGGCACCGAGTCCTCTGGCAGAACAGCGGGCAACGAGTCATCTGGCACGACAGCGGGCACCGAGTCATCTGGCAGAACAGCAGGCACCGGGTCACCAAGCTCAACGAGTCATCTGGCACAACAGCGGGCACCGAGTCATCTGGCACAACAGCGGGCACCGAGTCATCTGGCACAACAGCGGGCACCGAGTCATCTGGCACAACAGCGGGCACCGAGTCATCTGGCACAACAGCGGGCACCGAGTCATCTGGCACGACAGCGGGCACCGAGTCATCTGGCAGAACAGCAGGCACCGGGTCACCAAGCTCAACAGCGGGCAACAAGTCATCTGGCACGACAGCGGGCAACGAGTCATCTGGCACGACAGCGGGCACCGAGTCATCTGGCACGACAGCGGGCACCGAGTCACCTGGCACGACAGCAGGCACCGAGTCCTCTGGCAGAACAGCGGGCAACGAGTCCTCTGGCATGACAGCGGGCACCGAGTCATCTGGCAGAACAGCAGGCACCGGGTCACCAAGCTCAACAGCGGGCACCGAGTCATCTGGCACGACAGCGGGCAACGAGTCATCTGGCACGACAGCGGGCAACGAGTCATCTGGCACGACAGCGGGCAACGAGTCATCTGGCACGACAGCGGGCAACGAGTCATCTGGCACGACAGCGGGCAACGAGTCATCTGGCACAACAGCGGGCACCAAGTCATCTGGCACAACAGCAGGCACCGAGTCATCTTCCACGACAGCGGGCACCGAGTCATCTGGCAGAACAGCAGGCACCGGGTCACCAAGCTCGACAGCGGGCACCGAGTCATCTGGCACGACAGCGGGCACTGAGTCACCGGGCAAGTCAGCGGGCACCGAGACATCGAGCACGTCAGCGGGTACCGATCCATCTAGCAAAACCGAGGGCACAGAGTCACCAAGCTCGACAGCGGGCACCGAGTCATCTGGCACGACCTCGGTCACCGAGTCACCGGGCAAGTCACCGGGCACCGAGTCACCGGGCACGTCAGCGGGCACCGAGCCATCTAGCAGAACCGCGGGCACCGGGTCACCAAGCTCGACAGCGGGCACCGAGTCACCGGGCAAGTCAGTGGGCACAGTGTCATCGGGCACCAAGTCATCTGGCACGACCGCGGGCACCGAGTCACCGGGCAAGTCAGCGGGCACCGAGCCATCTAGCAAACCGCGGGCACCGGGTCACCAAGCTTGACAGCGGGCACCGAGTCATCTGGCAGGATCGGGTCATCAGGCCCGATTGGGTCATCGGGCATCAGGGCATCAGGCTGGAAAAACGGAAGGCGGGTCCTCAGACAGCAGGCTGACCGGTTTGGATACTGGCAGGATGGTACAGCGTGGAAAGAATTTTTGCTTCTTCTTGGGTTTAGTTACTGGAGCACTGTAAGTAAATGCAGGTCTGTAAACGGATGGAGCAGCTGAAGACAGGGAAGAGCCGGAGGATGGAACAAAGGAGGCAGCAGTTGCTACAGAGGGCTTCTTTACAGGGTAAAAGGAAGGATAGGTGCAGCGAGTGGGAACAGGGGACTGACATGTGATAGCTAGCAGGGTATACTGGGCTGTCACTGGGGGTCCTGTGGGAACTGGAGGAAGAGAGCTTTGAGCAGAGTAATGGTTAGAAGCAGGACTGGGTTGTTGCAAGCTGACTGAGGCTGGGTGTAACAAATCCGACCATGTCTGCAGTACTGGCTGAACAAAGCTCCGCTCACACAAAGCCTGTCTGGTCAAAGACTGCACTGCGTTTATACAATCCCTAAGCACCTGTTGTGAACATGCAGAATAATGCTCCAAGAAGCAATCCACATCATCCTCTCTAATAACCATACCAGGGACTCTACCTGGTCTGCACTAAATGGCGGCAAAAAGTCATCCCTTCCCTCAGGGGCTCCAGACGAAGCCAACTCTGCACAAACCTGAATCAATGGCTGCACCTCAGAGAACTCCGTGCCCTGATCTACTAGGAAATGAGCGATCCTTATGCATTCTAGCAGCTGATCCCTGGTATACTCCTGCAGAGTCTCATAGGCATAATCTCTGTCATCAACGACTAGCAGACACAAATATACAACATCCTCAGGATGCATCCTTCACAACAATAAGCCAAGATGGCTTCACTGTGCAGCCACTTCTGGCAGGACTGGCCTTGGTGTTCTGTTAGGGATCCGGGTGTGACCAGAAATGTGTGGACTGACACAGGGAAGTAGCAGGCTTCAGGAACACAGGCGTAGTCAGGCTGGAGAGGTGGAATGGTCAGGCAGGCCGTAAGGTACTGTCAGGTGCCGCCTGGCAGTGTCTCTAGCAGCCCACAGCACGGATTTCCTCAGGGCGCGGGGTTTAAGTCCCAGCCTGCTATTCACCAGGGCCCCTGATGGTGGGGATGGACTTGGTGCAGACTGGAACCAGGTCGCGACCCCTGAGTGCGTCCGGCTGTGGTAGAGAGTACTGGCAGGGGAGTGCAGGAACGGAGTCTGATGGGAAGAGGCAGGCAGACTTACTAAAGGTGATCCGTGCGGGATGGATGGATCGTCGGGTGAAGTAAGCGTAGTCAGACAGGCTGGGTCAGTATTGTGCAGGCAGCGTGGTACAGGAGGAGCAACCAGAGAATGGTCGGGGTCGCAAGCCAGGTTCAGCAGGTAGCAGGCAGCGCGGTACCAAGGATCAGGCAGAAGGATGGTCAGGCAAGCCAGGGGTTCAACAGGAGACGGTAAGCAGAGGTCAGGATCAAAGCAGGGTCAGGAACGAGGCAGGAACACAGGATACCAGGTACAGGGGCTCATGGGAAACATACACCAAGGCCCTGATCACAGGCCTGGTCATTCCTTAAATACAAGTCCTGCAATCAGTGCCAGGTGTTGGCTGACTACAGGAGTTAGCTTCTGGCTGCTGAGAGCACCCGCTGGTCAGCCCTGGTACTGCAGCCCACACGGCAGATGAGTCCCACCACCAGTGCTGAGTCCATTCCTGACACACTGTATTACTGAAGCCTACTTCAAACCATCAGACAAGAACAGTTACATCCCCACCGACAGTTGCCACCACCCACGATGGCTGGCCAGTATCCCCAAGAGCCAGTTCATGAGGATAAGACGCAACTGTACGGAAATTGAGACTTACCATCAAAAAGCAAAAATCCTTAGACAGAGGTTCATAGATAAAGGCTATACAGCTGATACTTTAGATCAGGAAATCGATATGGTGGCCCACATGAACAGACACAACATGCTTTCAGGACCACCCAAACAGAAAAAGGAGATGTTTTGCCCATTCATCACCCCTTATTCAATCCAACATAAAACGATACGTCATATCGTGAAAAAGAATTGGGATGTACTTAAGGCAGATCCGATTCTTTCAACAGCCTTGCCCCCAAACCCAGAAGTCATCTTCAAGAGGGCCTTACCTCTACGCAATACTATTGCCCCGAATATAACAGATCCCCCTTTACGCCTGAGTTTTCTTGGTAATCTTAAAGTTTTTTTTCCCCTGCAAAAGATGCCAATTATGCAAGCACAGCAGGATGTCAAAGAGGAAGATAGAATCCTTTGCCTCTACAACAACAGGCAAGGACTATGAGATAACCACCTTTAACTCTTGTAATACACGTTACGCAGTATACCTCCTGGAATGCCCATGCCAAAAGCAGTATATAGGCCAGACCACCAGGAGACATCGTGACCGTTTTCGAGATCACGTATATAATATCAAAAGGGGTTTCCGCGAACATTCCCTATCGAAGCACTATAGGGATTTTCATCATAGAGATCCCTTTTCCCTCAAATTTATAGGGATCGATGTGGTACAACATCACTGGAGAGGTTCAAACAGAAGCAGACAGGTCTCATGTCTGGAGACCAAGTGGATCTTTGAGATCAAATCTATGACTCCTTTAGGCCACAACGTGAAATTAGATTTAAACTGCTTCATCGATAACAGCTGAACCCCTACCCGTACACATGGTTAGACTATATACCTGGTAGCATGACATTAGGACCATTTAATAGAATATATTGCATTTGGCATATGTATTTATTGATATAGCTTATGGTTATACTGATCTTTCTTTTATGCACTTTTTCTATTATCACTTGTTTTTATTATGGGCCATAATACTGTGGCCGCTATACTAGATTTTATTATGTTTTATTATATGATTTTGTAACCTTTTATTTACACTTTATTTGTTAAATATCCTACTTTTAAGAAAATGCACCAATTTATATCATTTGTGATATCTACTTAACATTGCCAACAAGCCTGTGTTAGTTTTGCAGGAAACACCAGTAAAATGGCGACCGTGTTTCCCGCACATGCAAATTT